GTGCTTTGGACTTTGAACCCTGGTTAACAAGCAGATCCGCCGCGAGTTCGTGCAGCGCTGTCAGAATACATGCAATTTGTGCGTGTATTAGAAAACATAGCGTTCTGCAGTTTATTTACTAATTGTTTAAGGCCATTTTGCGATTTCAATCATCATACAGTAAACCAGCAACAATCAGCCCTTCCTCTTCTCATCGAAGACATGCGATGCAGTACTAAACAGTCTCTCGCTGTCGGTGCTTGTAATGATTTTTGCGTCTTTCTTGGACAGTTTAAATGCTTCCACTGCTGACATGTTTGTTGCATTATAAAGAGTGCTCGCCTCTCACTTTACGCTGGTTGCTATTTGATAGCGTCATGTCATTGTTCGGTATAATTTATTCTGTCTTTTCACTTATTCCAAACTTAATGTTCGGTTGCCGAACATTCAGTGCATCCCAGCAGCTTTTTTTAGCCACTCTGATCTCCTTTGTTAGTCTGTTCCTGGCCAGGTTATACAAGATTTTATCCCCACTTCTGTTAGCATCCTTTTTGGTGTGACGAAGCTGTTTGAGTTTCCCAGTAAACCACGGTTTTGTCACAGTCTTCAGCGGGTGTGCCCAGGAGGGCCACCAGATGACTGTGTTCGGTGAGCACATGGCTTGTGTTGTCTGTTGCCATGTGCTCTCTCCTGTCTATTGTCTTGCCCCTCCCATCTTGTTACCTCGTTATTGTTTAAGTTGCTCCACCTGTGTCTCCCTCGTTAGCCTCCTCGTTTGGTTCCTATTTATTCTCCTGGTGTCTGTCATCCTGTGCTGATCCGTCATTTCTCATTGCGTGTGTTTCGTGTCTGCATGTGGTGCAGCTTTAGGCCTGCCTGTCTGTTTTTCCCCCTCGGGGTGGTTTGAGTTTGTTTTTGTTTCATTTTTTTACTAAAATAAATAACCATTTCTCCTGCACTTGAGTCCTCGCTTCCTCTATCCTCACGCACCGTGACAGATTTATCATTATTGAATATTAAGAATGTCCTGGTAGGAATGCGGTGGCTGCAGCTGCAAAAACACTCCAAGGGTGCAGTCGAAGCAGGCTTGATAATCCTGCTCTGGTTCATTAGTTCATCTTTTTACAGTCCTTATTACAGGTTTACCTGATTTCAGTTTCTGCCTGTAGGTCGGTATAAGATGAACTAGACTCACTCTCCCTTCCTCTAGATCTATGTTTCTCGCTTTCCACCATCACATAACTCACTGTCTCTCTTGCTGTCTTTTCCTTTCTGTCTAAATACCTTTGAGAATTGAGCCTCATGTTCAGATATATCTGTTCTGAAACTCTGGCTGTTGACAGTCAGTATTTGGGATTGACAACCACTTTTACTAATAACTGTGAGTCTCAAATTAAGTTCATATAACAGCTTACAGTAGCAGCTCAAATACTCTGTATGAGTGACTGAAAAGGGGTACAGTCCAAACGAACTCTGGGGTACAGTTTCCAGAGCTGGTACCGGAGACCAATCTGATATCACTCCACACATTTTCTCCTCCGAAAAGTCACTGAAGC